TGAGAATTATAAAGTTACAAAATCTAACATTGTAAGACCATATATTCCCTGTGGTTTTTATACAAAAATGAAACAGCACCATAACTTTCATGTAACATTATGCTAAATACATTCTTATAATTCACATTTACAAGGATTCCCTATTCTTAGGTTTGATATATTTAGCAAACATTGGCAGTGCACAATGCTACTGACCAAAAGTTCTTTAAGCATTACTATGCAGATGCTCTTTTTAACATTTCTGGAAAAGACAAACCATGAGGATATCTCCTAGTTAAAAGTCAAAATACCATGTTAAGACAAAATGACTCTGTAAGAAAACATGTTTCAAAAGACTTTTTCATTAAAAACCACATATATGACTCAAATTAACCACAAAATGGATTTTGACTGGATTTATTCACACAGATCAATCCAAATTCATTTTAGGCCCAAAATATATATCATAAGGATACTAGTAAATTTTCCCAGGTACTAGAGGATCTTGTATAAATGTATCTGTTCGAGTGCTTCTCTGTCAACATCCTTTTCCATATACACATCATAGTTTAGCTGCACCTCTTCGACCCACTGACTGAGCTGTACATCTGTCTGAAACAATGAAAGCAGATCCTTAAATGAACACCATGTTAAGAAACAGCAGGAGTTTCAAGGTTAAGGAGTTTCAACATTAGGAAGGCAAGACATAAATAATATGAGAGATTAATCATTCCAAATTATATGGCAATGATAAATTCATTTATGGAAAAGCCATTTTCACTCAAATAGGAGATAATAAAGGTAACTTTAAAACTTATCTCAGTCAATAGTCTAGATTATTTTGTTAGCATACTACAACTGCTTTTCTTTATGCATTTGTATAAGCCCCAAGCATCCTGATCAGAAGGTGACATTCTGACAGACGTGCTGAGGGAGCAGCTAACAGTATTGTGGAAGAATCACAGGTATTTTCTTGTTTCACACCCAGGAAGTATTGTATTAAGGCTACAAAGGGCTTCTCAGCTGCTCTGTGACTACAGCCTGCTCCATGAAAAGTTCAAATAACACCATTGCTCTTGGGGATGACAATCTACTTCACCCATCAGCATACAGCAAACAGGTGATTCAATTTCTCTAAAACTAACTACTGTTGTGAGCAAGTCACTTTGTACATTACCTTGTCATGTCTGATCAGCATTTTGTTTCCAATTTAAAGCTATGTAACTGATTCAAGATGCCTGATGGCAGTCACTTGGCTAGCTGGGAGACCACATCCCAGTACTAATCTGTACTTCCAGAAGCTCATCCTGCTGTATTAATACTCATGTATATACAATACTCATGTTAATACAATGATTCATGCAGCCTACTGACATAGGCTGGGATTTTCCTTTTTACAGGAGGACAATTGAAGTACGGGAAGATGTGTTGGTGGTCAACCTCAAAACAGAATCCAGAGTCTTCCACCTTTTAATTTCTGCAAAATATTATATATCCTTCCTTACAGCAATACTGGCAAGCAGCTAACTTCAACTACAGAAATGCCACTTCCACAGAAAATAATGATGTCTGTCAGCTAAAACAGGCTGAGGGAACTTACCTGGAGCTTTGAAAGTGATTCCTCAAGACTCGGAACTGTCACTAATAAGGACCCTCTTTTCCTTACATTACAAGCAATAAATTCCCAAGCTCTGAAACATATTTAAAGGTAGATGACCAATTTTTTTTGGGAAAAAAACAACAATATTCGATATACAATGAATCTAACACATGCAGTTTATTGGCAAGAGACTAACCTTAAAGACTTGCAATACATGTTTATCAGTCATTATTAATATCTAAGCAAATATATTTGCAGGAATAAAACAAAGCTTTGTATTAAAACCACAGGGAATATATGGTCTTACAATGTTAGATTTTGTAACTTTATAATTCTCATACATACATGCATATAATTTAGTATTGCCAAGACTTTCACTTTGAACAAGGATTAAACATTGACATTTGGCCCCTTTAAATTTTTGGGTTTGAAG